TTCCCACAGCTCTGATTTAATCCATCTCTGTCTCTGAGCAGAGTGCAGACCACGTGGGGCCATTCCATTTCCTGTGGCATTAGCCCTGGCGTCCTGGCCACGTCTCAGCTTGGGTAGTTACGTTTTGCCCCAGCAGTGTCCATTGGGCACTATTTTGCCTTGTCCTGTCCCAGAATATTATACAGTGCAGCCAGGGGCTCGTACGCCACTTTCCCCACCGCCGGGGTAGCAGCTCCTGGCTCTCTACTCTGTGGAGCAGTGCAAGGCTTGGGGGAGGAGAGCCGCTGCGGAAGCACAAGGCGAGGGGTTCACTCTTTTCTCTATCCAAACACAGCGTGAAGGCAGCGCTGCTGCCGGAGTCGCGCGTGATCCCTGCCTTACAACCCATCACACAGGCAGTTGCTCGCACAGAGAACAGGGGCCCGAAACAAGAGGAAGCCGCGAGTCTTTACCGGAGTCGACAGCCAGGACTATGGCCTTGTAGGTGCTGTTGACTACGAAGCTCGACTCCCTGTCCAGAGGGAGTTTTGCCGTGATGATGCCATTTTCGGGGTCAATAGCCAGCCACCCGGCAGGGTCGTTCCCCATGCGGTACCTGGAGAGGAGGGCAAGCAGGGATGAGGAGAAAGGTCCAGCATGTGGGGCGGGGGCTGAGCAGGTGGGCAGTGCTCTATGGAAGCGTGAAATGAATTTGCCAGTGAGAGTTTAAGGCTGAAATCTCGCCATTTAGGTTTGCGACTATAAACAACTGGCCCCTTTCATGCTTACATCCGCTGCAGGAGAGGACCGGTCACCACCCTGCCGGGGGCTCTCAGGTGCTTGCTGGGGTTCACTCTCTCTCGCAGACTGCTGGCAGGAATGCAGCCTGTCTCATTTGAGCCCAGAAGGGCTATTTACTTGCCCTCCAGCCAGTGAGAGAGGAAGAGAGGTCCCAAGAGCACGCAGCGTAAAGGGACTGAAGGGAAGAGCTCAGGACAGAGGTGTGGATGGGTAGAGTTGGCCGTGCCTACACTACAAAATTACGTCGACGTTCAGGCAGCTCAGTCATTAAAACACTGTTTCACGTCACACTTGCTCCTTCTGTCAGCAGCAGAAGCACTTAAGTGGGGCACTGACCCCTACAGCCCTGCTGCCCTGGGCCTGACAGCTGGGAGCCTTGCTGCCGGGGGCTGGGGTGTCCAGCGTTGAGCCCCACGCAGAGCTGAGAGCCAACAGGCAATGTCAATGACACGGTGTCTACACGGACACTACATCGACGAAGCACAACGCCTCTCGCGGAGGTGGAGTTATTAAGTCGGCGTAGTGGGTGACTTACATCGGTGAGAGCTACATGTTAGTGTAGACGCTTACACAGTGAGATGTAAGCTGCCTTACGTCAACCTAACTCTGTAGCGCAGACCCGGCCTTCGTGTCACCAGGCAGCAGCTTGGTTGGCCTGGAGCTGCCGGCGGCTTGGCTGTGCCGCACACGTAGCTACGCCCCTGATCTGCTTGGTTAGCTGGGCAAACACCCAGCTCGGTATATTTCCAGTTACCCAACTTTCAAGCATGAAGGTAGATTGTGCCAAGTTAGGTCTGAGTTTTGGCAGGGCAATCGTACCACTGATCTGCCCGGAGAATTTGCCTTTATTTCCTTTCAAGAGAGCAGATGATTGAGATTTGAGATGATTTCCGATGCAGGAAGGAGGCGTTTGCCAACAATCAGAACCTCCTTAGTGCCTGGCTTTCCCCGGGGCCCATGGGACAGGCCGTGCACAGGCCACATGGTGTTTGCTGTGCAGCATTTCTGGACTGATTTGGGGTGGCCTGAGCAGCTGATGCACAAATCAAGTGGCTGCTGTGAGCTCAGTCCCTGGGGCCTGGCAAGGCTTCTCTGCAGCATTCCCGCCCTTACTTGATTGTCTGCGTCTGGCTCTTATCTGGGTCCCGGGCCGTGTAGGAGGTGACTTGCTGTCCCACAGGCAAGTCCTCTGAGACCACTACGCTTTTGATAGGCGGATCAAAGACTGGGGCTTCGTTCACATCCTCAACGTTCACAGTGACGGTGGCTGTGGAAGTCGGGAGAGGCACGGAGAAGGGAATGTCGTTCGTTGCAGCAACGTGGAGGATGAACTGCCTTTGCACCTCAAAATCCAGGCCCTGGAAAGGATGCAGAGGAAGGAGTCAGCTTTCCAGGAGAGACACAATATAAACCCTGCTAACGCCCGGGAGAATTCCTGGCGTGGAGCAGAACTTGGAACAGCTGGGAGGCTATTCATCCTGCCCTTGGGGGAAGGACACACTAACCCGGCGGCAGAGGAACTCCGCCCATCAGCAGGCTCGCTTCGGGAAGCGCTTCCCCGGGTGCCTTCCGTCCAAGCCCCCCCGAGTGCTCCACACGCACTTGCCCCCATGAGGGAGAACCCTCCTGCCCGCACTGCTCTGAAGCGCTGTGGCAGGATTGCTCAACTCCCAGGCCCCTGGTCCAATCCCCCGACCGCACTCCCGCCCGGCTCTTTGGTGCAGTTCCCCAGGGCCTTAGTGCACCGAGCCCTGTCCCCGATGGCAAGACAACAGCCCCAAACCAGATCTGGAGGGGGGAGGGAGAAATTTGGGAACCTAAAGCCCCGAGTCTGTCCTGCCAAACAGCCCCCGCAAGCAGTGCTGGGAAGAGATTCAGAAAAGTAAGTCTCAGTAGAGCTGGGCCATGGGGGGGTTGAGGCCAAGCCCCTGCGACCCCAGACAGAGCCGTACCTTCCCGGGGAAGGATTCACACGCAGCAGGGCTCTGGGGACCCGAACTGGGAGCTCCCCAGGGCACCCTCTGCTGGGGATCGTGGTCCTGGAGAGTGAGAGCAGTGACAGGCTGAGCTGGGCCGGTTTACGTTCCTGGGGTGAACGCAGGTGCGTACAGGAGGGGGAGGCAGTGCAGCCGAGGACCCCGGGAGACGTCCCCACCGGACTGTAGCATTTTCGAAGTCAGTGACATCAAAGTGGGGTGTGGGAGCGGAGGCGGCGCTGGGTGGGCACCACTCACCTGGGCAGTTTTCAGGAGCCCGTCGTTGTTGTTGGGGTCTGTGGTTATGGTGAAAAAGCCCCCTTCGTTCCCTCTCACGATCTCGTACTTCGCCCGCCAGGCCGGAGAACCCTGCTTGTCCTTGTCCGTCACATGCAGCCTGTCAACCAGCACCCCCGCTTCGTTCTCGGGCACCGTGGCTTGGTACTGCAATAGAAGGGACAGGCTGGATGCAGGGCGCCGCTCTGGCTGGCCGGGTACTGCGCAGTCACCGGAGCACTTCTGGCAGCCCCAGAATCCCATCGGTTTTTAAAACAACAAAGCCTAAGTGTCTGGCTTCTCCACGCAGGGGCAGAGTGCCACTGCTCCAGCTGCTGGGCTCCAAAGGGAACCCCAGCTGGAGAGCCTGGCCCAGAATCACGGGCCTTGCTGTCACAAGTGGCACCTATTTCCAGGGAGCGCCGCTGGACCCAGAGCTGTACACGCTCCTCAAGGGGGCCCGTACATTGGGGGCAGGGGATGGAAAGTTGCACTGAGCGTTCCAGCGACAGAAGCCGTCTGCCCCTGCAGCTGCTATTCCATAACTATACGCCCAGGGCCAGGCTCCACAGCTAGGGGAAATCAGCAATTTCCACTGGCTTCAACGTAGCTACGCCGAGCTAGGATCTGGCTCTCGGCGCACACAGCACGCAGGGCCCCAGCTCCCCCAATGGCTGGCGGTACTTCAGTGAGGTTGATGTTATGTTTGCCTTTCACTCACGTTCCTAAAGGGAGCAAGTTCAGGCAACTTCCAGTTAGAGGCAAATATTTTTGGCACAGAAGAATTTGATTCTCTAACCCCATGGACTAATTCTGCCCCTTTGATTCTTCACCAAGTCTGGGGTTGAGTAATTGGACAGTTTTGTCAGGCATCTAACTAACTCTTTGCACAGATGTAGCTAATGAAATCCGCGGTGTTGGGAGTGGAGCTCCCGACCTGGGTAATGCGAACAGAGATAGAAGCAGACGAGAGATTACGTTACCATGAGGGGGTCGAACACTGGAGCGTTATCGTTGGTGTCGGTGACTTCAATCATTGCTGTGGCTGAGGTAGTAAAACCATCGCCTTGTAAGTCGGCAGCCTGGACAATCAGCGTGTAGTTGGGGGTCGTCTGCAAGCCACAAAAGTCACTTTTGGATTAGCACCCAGAGGAGACGTCAGGCTGGTGCAATACTGGCTGGGGACGGGCTTTGGCAGGCCCCGCCTCTCTTCCTCTCGGGGGAACTTTTATGATTAGTTTCATCGCTGTCAGAGCAGCCAGCAGGTGAGACAGGAGGTGAGAGCTCCTGAACTCAGCTATCAAGCAGCACCACTTTTCTGACTGCAGGTGCCCTCTCTGGGGCGTTTCAGCCACGGAAACCCAGCAGTAACAGGTAAGGGAACCTGCTTCTCAATTCAGCAGGCAAGCTGTCATTGTCCCCTCTGCTAAAAGTCAATATTTCACATTGGTAGCCAAGAGCATTTTAAGCATTCACTTTCCTTTTCAGTATCTACAGTGAACAGCTTGGGGGTTTCTGCACATCTATCTGGGCTTGGACAATTAATCAATGACGTCAGTTTCACTTTGTATTTGTTAGAAAGTGGGTTTCCCTTGATCAGTAGACAAGATCCTCTGTTCAATTCCACGGCAACAGCGTGTTTCTACAAAACCCAACGTGGGGCTGAGATTTGATGCATTTAAATTAGCTGAATTGACCGAACACGGCCAAACGATCAGGCCTCTCGTGGGGGGATCAGTTTCTAGCGCTGCAGAGATGCCCGTTGAACCCCCCACTGCCTCCCCGCCAAGCACAATTCACTCAGCCCAAGGGCTGGCCGGGCAGGGGAAGTCTAACGTGGCACAAGCGCCCAGGAGAAACGGAGATAGCGGGAAGTTTGCCAAAGACATCCTGCAGTGTGACACGGCTTGCGACCGCCACTCCCAAAGCGTCCCCGGGCGGGGCGCACCCCTCCGACCCTACGGCCCT